TGGGGACTTAGGGAAGGTGGCAGAGTGAAGTGATAGTGATGAAGTTGACGTTCTGGCCCTTGAGTTAAACTGCCTGGACTAGATCCCAGCTCAGCTCTTACCTTGGGCACATTCTGAGATTTCTGTGTGTTTGTTTCCTCATCTATATAATGGGTGCCTTCATAGTTCCTGTCTCAAGAGTAGTTGTGAGGACTAAATGAGATAATACAGGGAGAGCCCTTGGTAAGTAAATGTATAGTAACTATTAAGTCAGCTACTTCTGCCTAGTGGTGTTGTTATGTGTGTTTTGGGGGCAGTTCATGAAAGGATAAATATTTTTGTTATTTGCAGGGGTAATATAATTCAAATATAGGAATTAAAAAGCAACCATGACAGGTAACAGTCAAGTTATTAGATTTCTGTTTGGTCCCTAATCAGTAGACAAAGGTTAGAATTTTTAAGGAAACTCCATTAGTCAATTAACACTCGGACTCAATTTTTATTAATCATTTTATTCAGTGATGTTTATCTTCACCTACTTAATTTAGATTCTTGACTGCAGACTTCAAAAGGATGTTTATTTTTCTCGATTCATGGCTAGAAAGCAAAGATTCAAAAGCTATCAGGAAGGATAGAAGCATATACTGTGGCTTATTCAGGGCACCTGCCTCAAGAGTGCCAAAGCCTGGGTAAGAATGTTGAACCCATCAGTCAAGTGGCTGGTATGATCTGAGCTCCAAATAAAAGCCTCATATTTTCTACACTTAAAAATCAAATTTTGTCTATCATAAGACAGCATCAGGCTGAATATGATGTAGAGGGGAAGATTCAAGTCCAACAGATATGTAGACAAAATTTGGTATTTTTCTCATTCATCCTTACATATCCCTTGCAACTTAGCCAATACAATTTAAATAAAAATAAAATTCTTCTTTTCCTTTTACTGATTGCTGATTTTTAAAGTAGGAGATAAAGGACTTTTCTCAGGCTTACCCAACCACCCCACATCATGCAAGAGTAACTTTCTACAACTGTCTGTGCAAGAGACCACGGATGCATCCCACCTGAGCCCTTATGGAATGAGCTATCCAAGCAACTTTCTTTCAGGCATCCATTGTCCAGCATACTGACTGCATAGGTCAAATGGGGAAAAGATCGATAAAATGTGTATGACATCCACAGTATCCCCCTTGAAGTTGAACTGCAAAAGGAAATCTGCTACCACTATTTACTTCTCTGTGGCAGGAGCTCCTAGTAACCAAGGGTAATGCAAATAAAGTGAGAACATTGGACCAGCAGACCATGGAGAGATCATTTTTTTTTAAAAATAAATCTAATTAACTATTTTTTATTGAAGCATAGTTGAAATACAATATTATATTACTTTTAGATGTATAACATAGTGACTTGAAACTTACATTATGAAATGATCACCACAATAATTCTGGTTATTCCAACCATATATTCCAATATATGGTCATTCCAATATTATTGACCATATTCTCTATGCTGTACTTTACATTCCCATGCCTTATTTTTTTTATAATTGGAAGTTTGTATCCCTTAATCTTCTTCACCTATTTTGCCCATCCTTCCACCCACTTTGAACATGAGGAGATTTTATTGTGCACAGGATATTCATCATGCAATTCATCAGGCGATCACCCTGGCCAAGCAAGACTTAGAAAGACTTTCACAAAAATGTTCTGAGAACCAATATAACTATATATTCTAAAGTCTTCTTCTGTAAATTCTGTTTTCTTCCCAACATGACCCTCTAAATATCTGTATCCACATATGAAAGTTTAAAGACTCTTTGCAGCTAAGATATCCTGCTTCCTCAAACTTACCTCTTGTCCCACAAGTTCCTTAGTTTTGCCTTGTCTTTTGAACTTTTGGATTTCTGTAACATTGGAGATCCAACCAAAATTCCTGAAATCTTGTCTTTGTTTATCATCTGTTTCAACCTCAAAAATCATAAATTATACAGCAAAGATAGGGAAACATCCGTTCTTCACTTAGCCCTCCATCACCTTCTTTGGGATGGTAGATGAAGGGCTGTTATAACTTTGAGCTATGATTTGAAAGTATGTTGAATCAAAGATAGTCTTGCTTAGAACAAAGTATCTATGAAGGACATGTCTGACATTCAAAACCATTTTTACTGAGGCAGGAAACTTTGCTGGCAAGAGACTGACTTTAGCCAACTTTGTTAGTTTGCTGGAGCTGTCATAACGAGTACCACAAACTGGGTGCTTGGAGCAGGATATGTGTTGTCTCACAGTTCTGGAAGCTAGAAGTCACGGTGTCAGCAAAGCCAGGCTTCCTCTGAAACCTGTAGGGGAAGCATTTTTCCTTGGCTCTTCTTAGCTTTCGGTGGTTTGCTGGCAGTCTTTGGTGTTCCTTGGCCTGCAGAGTCATCATTCCAATCCTCCATCTCTGAGCATATCTGAATCTGTGTCCAAATTTCCCTTTTCCTAAGGACATCAGCCATATTGGATCAAGGCCCACACTAATGGCCTTATTTTTATTTTATTACCTCTGTGAAGACTCTGTATCCAAATAAGGTTATATTCCAAGGGCCTGAGGGTTAGAACTTCAACATACCTGTTAGGAAAGGGAGAGGGGACACAACTCAATCTGTGACACCAGTTTAAACAAAAAAGGAATTTATTGGAAAGATATGTGGTGACTTACTTAATTGAAGGAAAAGTTGAAGCAAGAAGACCTAAAAAGGCAAGAGCGTGGTTGCCCAACGATCCAAGAAGCAGGCAGGACCTACTCCCAGCCCCACTAGGAGGCTGTTGTATCAAAGGACCTCCACTGACTTCCCCATCTTTGCATCACTTCACATGGCATTCAGAGTCCCAGAAGAAAGTCTGATTGGGTCACTATGTGGCCGGAAAATTTGGGAGCGCCATCATTTCCTCTCCCAACAACACGAAAGCAACAGAGAAGAGATAATTCCCAAAGGCTTTGGGATGCTATTACCAAAAAAAAGGTTGAAGGATGCTAAATGGATAAAACCAAATGTCTAATTTAGACCCTCTAGCAGGAAATGAGGAAGGGAGCACAATTTGAGACTAAAAAATATTTTCATATACTCCAAATTCATGATTAATTCTATGTACATAATAAAACCCTGATGATTATTAATACAGCCATTCAGAAAAATTTGTCATTCTGATATGATTTGCCTTTCTTATAAGTCAAGATCATGGAGGGAATTCCAGCTAATCATGATTCTTTTACTGCACTACCATTAGTTATGTTTTGCTATCATATCAGCTTTATAGATAGAGAAAATGGGTTCCCCAAGTGAGCCTTTCTCCCATTCTTTGGTCTGTTGTTCCTTTACTCTGATCCAGGTCAGGACACCCGCTTGTGTTGCTGGCCACAGGAAGCCTCCTGGCATGTTATGGTCAGCTGCTCCCTGATGCCTTGGAGGGAAATGTATAATTCTCCCCTCTCAGCTCCTGAGGCACCCACTTCTCATGTTTCGACACTGAGGGGGCTCTCCTTATTCCACCCTCTTTCCCAACTCATCCTACCACCACCTCTTCAAAGAACATAGCCATTGTTATGTTAGTTTTGCTTTGAATTAAGAAAAGAAAAGAAGAGGTGGGAAAAATTAAAGCAGATTGCATAAAACGAGGGATATATGGGGGTGTCTCATCATTAAATGGTATAAAATCTTAAAGAATAGACTTATCACCCAGGCTTTCTGTTTGCACTTATTCTTTGACACTTCCAAAGACAAATAGCTGATAGGTCTACTGGAGTATTTTGCCTGTTGTCAAATTCCCTGAATTGCTGGGCATGGGAGTGGTGATCTCCAAGACTAGAAAGACATGCAAGAAGCAGTCTGGGAGTTAGAGACCAGATCACTGAGTGGAGCAGGTTGCATCTCTATTTAGAGGAAAGAAGAAAGCTAATACATTGGCAGAACATGGACTCAAAAACTGGTAAGCAGTGAGTCCCATGAGGGAGAGCAGACCCAGATAAATGAGGGCGAGGTGGTCTCTACCAGTAGGTAGGACACGATGGAGCAGGGAATATTTGAAACTTTACATTCTTGGCATCAAAGAAACAATTAAATGGCCTAGTCCAGAAGTAATGCATGTCAACCCTGTTTACAACTCCTTGGCCAGACCAGTCACTTGGCTCCATCCAACCACAATGAGGCCAGGAAGTACATGTGCCCAGAACGGGGAGCTGGACATATTTAGCAAGCAGCTGCAATGACTTCCACTTGTCAAAATACAAACTCCTTCCCCAACAGACTCTGATTCAGGAGATCCTTGGAATCTGCATTTTAAATAGGCCTCCTCAGGTGAGTCTGATGCAGGGGAGAAGAGTGGAGTCTCTGGAACACTGACTTAGAACTTCACCTCAGGATAGCCAGATGACCAAGAGGATGGGGGCAAATCTGAGATCCAGTTCTTAGAGCTCAGATGTAGGGCCAAACCTGGGAGACTTCACCTTGTTATCAAAGGCGGCCACAGATGCCTGGACGCTGTAGTCCAGAGGGCTGGACAGAAGATTCCGAAGTGCCCAGGCATGAAGGTAAGTGTTGGAACCATGCCTGAGACAGAGCAGGTCCCCAGGTGTGTATCAAGATTCTCAGCGACAGGGAGAGGAAGAGAGATACGGGGCCAACTCCAGCCGTGACTCTCAGATGTGATCTAAGGTTGATATTTATGTCTGCAGAACTCATGGGCCAATATCACATCTCCTTATGTAATTCCTTGTTTCTTTCCTCTGTCCTTTCCTGGTGTCATCTTCCCTTCCTCTGTTACCCACTCTCTCTGCTTTCCCCCCATTATTTTCTCTTTTATTCCTTGTTTATTTTTCTTCTTTACTCCCCCCTCCGATTTTCCTCTTTCCCAATATTTCCTCTTCTTACACCCCTTCTCCTCTCTGCTCCTTCTCCACTCTTCTTTCTCCTCAATCATTCTTCCCTCTTTCTCCCTCTCATTCCTCCTTTCCCATGGCACCCACGCCTTCTATTCTCTCTCCAGGTATTATGCCATCTGCTGTCAGCCTCTGGTCTATAGGAACAAGATGACCCCTCTGCGCATCGCATTAATGCTGGGAGGCTGCTGGGTCATCCCTATGTTTATCTCTTTTCTCCCTATAATGCAAGGCTGGAATAATATTGGCATAATTGATTTGGTGAGTACCTCTGCAGACCCTGCTGGTTTACTCTCTGATGAAGTTTATTTGCTTGGGATTCTAAATAAACAAATAATATCAGGTTGGGTGGCTATTCTAAGAAAGATTCTGATAGTGGTTGGAGTGACAGCAGTAACAACAAAAAAAATGCAAGCTAACATTTTGGAATGTTTGCTGTATGCCAGAAAGGATGCTCAGACTTTACATAGAATCCTGAAAACATCCTTCTCTCATCTCGTCCAGATGGGAAAAGCAAGGTGCAAAAGGGTGAAATAACATGCCCAGTAAATAGCAGAACAGGTACTCAAAGCTTAGCGTTCAGACTACAGAGCCTGAGGTATGTGAGGTGCCCCAAGCGGCCTTCACCTTATCTCATGGCTTCCAGTGACCAGCAGAAAACATGTCACATGGGTGGAGGCTTCCAGAAAATGAAGAGAACTCTGGGCCGGGAGTTGAGAGAACTGGACCGTGAGCCCAGCTCTGTCCCTGACCCTGAAGGACTGCAATGAGAAGGTGCATTGGTCTTCAGTGGAGGAGTGTGTCTTGCAGGGGTGTCGGAGAGCAGCATGTGTGCCAGGCATTTGCCGGCCCCTGTCCAGGTGATCTTCAAGAGTCTTCCGGCTCTGACACACCATGTTGATAGTACCAAAGTTGCAGTGAAGATCAAAAGTTATGGTGGGGTTCACCGGCAGCGAAATCTATTCCCTAAGGTGGTTGTCAGGCAGTCACTTTGCAACGGGGACCATGTTGAGGTAGGAAGGGGACTGGAGATGAGAGATTGAGAACAGGCTCCAGCCCAACAAGACCAGTTAGAGTAGGAGCTGCCTGTTCTTCTCTCCACCACATTCCCAGCCCCTAATCTTGCCTTGTTCTTTGTCCAGGAAAGGATATCCAAGCCAAGGCTGGGCCAGGATTTGCATGTGGTATGTCAGAACAAGAGTTCCTTGGGCTTCTGAAAGAAATGCTGGGGACAAAGGAGTGGAGAAGTAAAAAGGGATTCATACCAGGGAGACTGTATGGATATTTTCTTGAATCCTATCCTTCTTCTTTCCAACTTCCAATTTCACCATTCTCAAGGGAAATGAAATTCAAGTTTCCGACGACCAGCAGAGTAATAATTATGACCAACCAATGTTGAACACTTACTGTTTGCCGAGTCCAGGTTCACATAATCATCATTTCTGTGAAACCTCACTCAGGCCTCACAACAATGCCATGAGGTTGATCCTATCATTGCCGTCAGGAAACGGAGCATGAGAGAGCTTAAGTTATTAGCTAACGTCAGATTGGCAGGGAGTGGTGGTGACTCTGGCTAAACCCAGGCTTGCTGCATTCCAGAGTCTATGCTCTTAATCTCTGTGCTAAACTTACTCCCTCATGGAGAAGACATTTGGAAGCCTAAGCTTTCGTGCATGGGCACTTTTAAAAAGAGTGCAGCAGTCTTACCTTTGGATATAGAGTTTCTAAGGGAAATTAATTAGAGAATGGAGTTGCTGTGCATTTGTGGAGGGACATAGAGGCATCCCCTCTCTACTTCATGCACCTGGGGAATGGGGCATCTGCTTGCTGTGAACATGCCTAGTATTTGCTCCGTGGTGCTGTGATGGCCTTGCATCTTTCCACTCATCTGCACATTGAATTGGCCTAGAGAGACACTAGCACAACCCATGTGTTCACAATACAGAGGCAGTTGATTCTCACCAGTCGCAGTAAGTACGTTCTATAAAGTTGCCACAAGCGCCGAATTAGCAAATACTCTTTGCTCCTAGGAGAAATACAGGGTTAGGTTCCTGCAGGTTCTGGTCACAATATTTTCATCACCTAGTCAATACATAATATATGCTGCTTGTGAGAGAGGCCCATGAAATGTAAGGTGACAGGTTGATATAAAATAATATATATATTATCATGCATATAATAATATATAATATGCAAACACTGATCAGAAGAAAGCTGGTGTAGCTGTACTGTTATCAGTGATAAAATACATTTAAGGCAAGTCATACTGCTCGAGGTAAAGAGAAATATTTCATTATGAGAAAAAGGTCAATTCAATAGGAAGGTATACAATAATCTTATAATATGCTATGAGATAAGACACTAACTAACACACAAATAAAATACCATACGTGTGTATCATATGTTATTCATACATTTGTTCATGTGTATAGTCACACTGGATGAGGGCTGACCTCAGCAGGGAGGTGTCATTGGATTATACAGCTCTCTTCAGCCAAGGGCTGTTCCTAGGCAGGGCTGATAACTCAGAGCTGTCAGCAGACAGAGTTTATAGTAGGGAGAGAAGTCTTTCAATCTTTAAAAGAGGTTCAGTGCATCACAGTATCTAATACTAGTGAGGCTTATTCCAGGAATGCAACACAATCACTGTAATTCACCATATTAATAAAAGAAAGAGGGAAAACCCACATGATCATCTCTTTACTGCCAAAAATTCATTAACAAAATTCGGTATCCATGATTTTAAAAAATTCTCATCAAACTAAAAATAGAAGAGAGCATCCATAAAAAACTTCCAGCAAGTATCATACTTCATAGTAAAATGTTGAAACTCCCCTCCTAGAACTGAGAATGTAAAATGGTGTCCACTATTACCTCTTCTATTTAGGATTACACTTGAGGTCTTATCAAGTTCAATAATGCAAGAAAAATGGGATAAGATTGGAAAGGATGAAGTGAAATTTTTATTATTTGGAGATCAGATGGGTACTTACGAAGAAAAATAATAAGAATCGAGAGACGAAATATTAATAACAATTTAACAGAGTTGCTGGATACGTTGCCATACAAAAAAATTTTCACCGAATTCTACATACCAACAACAAACAATTAGGATTAAGGACTTTAAGGTTGTACCATTTGCAATAGGATAGCAAGTCAAATACTTAGGAATAAATCTGACAAAAGATGTGCAAAACATTTACAGAAAAAAAAGTGTAAAATATTACTGAAATACATTTTAAAAGATTTAAGTAAAGGAAAGAATTGCCATGTTTGTGAAATGGAAGGCTTACCATGGGAAAGAAATCCGTTTTCCTTAATCATTCTACTCTATCTCCAATCAAAATCCCCAAAGATCTGTATGGAAATTGATAAGCTAATTCTAAATTTTATATAGGAAATGCTGAGATGTAAGAACAGTCTTGAAAGAGACGGGCCACAGTTCAAAGACTTTTACTACCAGATATATTGTGTGCAGGCAGAGGGGGAGGGAGGAGACGCTAACTCAGCTCTCAGTTGGGTACAGAGATTGAAGGATGATTTTGTCCCTATGTTATTTCTCCTCTTCCCTGGGGCCTTCAACCCCTTGTGCAGAGACAGTCCCTCTGCCCCCCAGGATGCAATCATATTCCTTTCTACCTTCGTGGTTCTATGTGCTATAGGCTTATTAGGAAAAGAGAACTTGGCTGATAAACCTTCTTCTCTCTTTCCTCCTCTTTTTCCTCTTGTGTTTTCCCCTTCCTTCCTGCCCTTCCTTGTTCCCCTCCTTTTCTTTCTGCCTTCCAATCCCTCCTTTGCTTTTTCATCCTTTTTCTTTTCTCACAATTTTCCTCCTTCCCCTCCTGCTTCTTTCTCTTCACTTTTTCCTTCCCATTCTCCCTTCTTTCCTCATTTATTCTCTCCCTCCAACTCTCAGATAGAAAAAAGGAAGTTCAACCAGAACTCTAACTCTACGTACTGTATCTTCATGGTCAACAAGCCCTACGCCATCACCTGCTCTGTGGTGGCCTTCTACATCCCATTTCTCCTCATGGTGCTGGCCTATTACCGCATCTACGTCACAGCGAAGGAGCATGCCCACCAGATCCAGATGTTACAACGGGCAGGAGCCTCCTCAGAAGGCAGGTCCCAGCCAGCCGACCAGCACAGCACTCATCGCATGAGGACAGAGACCAAAGCAGCCAAGACCCTGTGCATCATCATGGGTTGCTTCTGCCTCTGCTGGGCTCCATTCTTTGTCACCAATATCGTGGATCCATTCATAGACTACACCGTTCCTGGACAGGTGTGGACCGCTTTCCTCTGGCTTGGTTACATCAACTCTGGGTTGAATCCCTTTCTCTACGCCTTCTTGAATAAGTCTTTTAGACGTGCCTTCCTCATCATCCTCTGCTGTGATGATGAGCGCTACCGAAGACCCTCCATTCTGGGCCAGACTGTCCCCTGTTCAACCACAACCATTAATGGATCCACACATGTGCTAAGGTGAGTGCTTAGGGGCTTGATAGATTTTGTTTATTTGCATGACTCGTAACGGGTACCCCTCCAGTGTTTTGTTTCCAGGGGGTTTTTCTTGAAAACCTGTGCAGTGTTTACAAAGAATAAAGAAAATTCTACTCTCTGGTCATGAAACAGAATAGTGGATAAGGACTTAGGCTCTGGGGGAGACTGGCCTTTATTCAAATCTAGCCTCCACAGTTCTGTGACCTTGGGCAAGTCGTTTAACCACTCTGAACTTCAATTTCATTTTTTAAAAAATTGAGATCCCAATCACAGTATCTGCATCACAGGGTTTTTGTGAGGATCAAATTAGCTAATGTGTGTAGAGCACATAGTAGAGATCCCAACACCTAGTAAGCATGTAGCAAATATTATCCATTATTATTTATAGGTAGTGGTTAAAAGCATGGGCTTTAAGGTAAAATAGACTCTATTTTGACTCTCATTGCCACTACTAACCATTTGTATAATCTCTCTTGGTTTTATTTTACTCAACTGTTAAAAAAAAAAAAAAAGGAATAACATCCATCTCATAGGGCTTTTGTGACAGCTAGAGATGATGTATTTTTTCAGGGCCTGACACACAGTAAGTACTCATAATTCTCCTAACAATGTTATTAATATGATTAGTAGGAGGAGGAGGAGTAACATATGGCCTGATACCCAAGATGGCCACAAAATAATGTGATAAATGAAATAAATAGGATAAATGTGCAACAGTAATACCATATGATAAATGATATAATGGAGGTATGGATAATCAAGAAAGGGAATCTGAGGAGGAAAAAAGCTGATTTGGCTTAAGAAAATCAGGAAAGGCCTCAGAGGACAGCATTTTTTAAGAATTTGAGACTTGGAGGAGAGATCAAGGAAGCCATTCTAGCAAATTGAGCAGCATGAGGAAAGAAATGGAATGTGAAAGTGCATGGGAAGGTCAAGTGGTTTACCCAAGGTTACCTGGGTTGATGGAGGTGGGAGTAACTTTGGAGCTAGATGTTCAGTGAGCAGTCATGATGCCTCTCTCTAAACCCTGAGAATTTTCTGGCTCCCTTGGGCTAGAGTCGTTCTCAGCCATGAAAAACCATGTGTTATATAAGTACATTCATCCTGTCGCAAAGATAAATTGTCAACAGCCTTTTTTTCTTTGCCTCAAGATGCACAGGAATTTCTAAAAAGTTCCTTCTTTGACACAAGCATTTAGTTTTTCTGATGACAGTATTCAGCTGTCCTGGCAGCTGAAAATTGGGGAATTTTCATTTGCATGTGTAAAAAAAGAAAAGAGAAAATAGGGTCTGCAGTGAAATGTAAACACTTTGCCTCAGAGACTGCTCAGAAGCCTGAATTCAATTTACTGCTACTAGTGTGGGCAGACTTGTAGTTAAAGCCTAGTCTGGTGTTGAGATTCCAACCGGTGGGAGGGCCTCCAAGACCACTCCTGTAGGCTGGCCTTCTCTCCTGATTATTGGGCCTTAAGCGAGGGTCCTAGGAAGAATCCAGCCATAAAGTGTGTGTGCAGGAACTTCTGTGTGGGGGCCTAAAAGCTGTCTGAATTAGCAGTTGCCTGAGTCCAGGCGGTCAACAGCTCTCAGAGGATGCTTTAACAGTGCCTTTGCCAAGTCAGATGTTTAGAACCAGAGGGACATTTTCCCCCATAGAAACAGTCACAGAAAGTGTTTGGGGGCTTCAGGGGCAGCCCAAGAGACCCATTTCACTGACACGGTATTTTCTCCCTGCTGCATTTGGGAACCTGCAGTGCGTTGTAAAGCGGAGATGGTAGTTTCGAGGCGGCTTTTGGATGTACTCTCCATACTTCAGTTTTTGTATTTCTGCATGAGGTAATGAAAAGTGCAGGAAGTTGGTCTGAGATACTGTTCTGGGGCAGGTGAGGAATCTTTTACGCATGGGGGAGCCAACACAGAGAAGACTACAGCCTGAATCTGCTACAGTGTAAGCTTTGCAAGGACAGGGATCCTGCCTGTTTCATTCACTGCTTCATACGAGATACTCAGTATGTTGCCTGATATACAATAGGAACTTACACTCTTGATGAATAAATTAATAAAGCATACAGTTAATTCTCTAGATCTATTGTATGAGCACCACTTAAGAACAATGTATGTTTTTCTTAAAAATCCTGTAAGCAGGACATCAACAAATTCAGATGGATTCAAGAAATATAAAACCTAAACTATCAAAAGTAAAATCAGCTTTTATCCTGTTGATCTTACCCTTCACCTCAGAGACAATTAAAACTAGTCTGGTGATTTTTTAAATGCATTTACAAACATTCATAAAAACATACATGTTCATAGATTCGTCTCCCTTTGTTCATTGTATTTTATTATTTATTTATTTTCATCATCATACGTGCGTTCCTTAGTCCCCATCCCCTATTTCACCCGTCCCCTCCCGACCTCCCCTCTGGTAACCATCAGTTTGTTCTTTATAATCAATAGTCATTTCTTGGTTTGTCTCTTTCTTTTTTCCCTTTGCTCATTTGTTTTGTTTCTTGAAATCCGTATATGAGTGAAATCATATGGTATTTGTCTTTCTCTGACTGACATATTTTGCTTAGCGTTATGCTCTCTAGCTCCATCCATGTTGTTGCAAATGACAGGATTTCATTCTTTTTACGGCTGAATAATAGACCACTTCTTATCCATTCATCTATCAGTGGACACTTGGACTGCTTCCATAGTTTGGCTATTGTAAATAATGCTGCAATGAACATAGGGGTGCGTAGGTCCCTGTGATTTAGTGTTTTTGTATTTTTTGGGTAAATACCCAGTGGTATAATTACTGGATCGCAGGGTAGTTCTGTTTTTCACTTTTTGAGTGGCCTCCATACTGTTTTCCAGAGTGGCTGTACCAGCTTGCATTCCCACCAACAGTGCATGAGGGTTCCTTTTTCTCCACATCCTTGCCAACACCTGTTGCTTCTTGTGTTTTTGATATTAGCCTTTCTAACAGGTGTGAAGTGACAGTGATTTTTATTTATTTATTTATTTATTTATTTATTTATTTATTTATTTAGATTTTATTTATTTATTTGACAGAGAGAGAGACAGCGAGAGAGGGAACACAAGCAGGGAGATTGGGAGAGGGAGAAGCAGGCTTCCTGCTGAGCAGGGAGCCCAATGCGGGGCTTGATCCCAGGACCCTGGGATCATGACCTGAGTTGAAGGCAGATGCTTAATGACTAAGCCACCCAGGCACCCCGAGTGACAGTTCATTTTAGTTTTGATTTGCATTTCCCTGATGATCAGTGATGTTTGAGCATCTTTTCATGTGTCTGTTAGTCATCTGGATGTCTTCTTTGGAGAAATGTCTGTTCATGTCTTCTGCCCATTTTTTAATTGGAGTGTTTGCTTTTTGGGTGTTGATTTGTATAAGTTTTTTATATATCTTGGATACTAACCCTTTATTGGATATGTCATTTGCAAATATCTTCTCCTATTGAGTAGATTGCCTTTTAGTTTTGTTGATTGTTTCCTTCGTTGTGCAGAAACTTTTTATTTTGATATAGTTCCAATAGTTTATTTTTGTTATTTTAAAAAAAGATTTCATTTATTTATTTGTTAGAGAGAGAGAGCACAAGCAGAGGGAGTGGCAGGCAGAGGGAGAAGCAGGCTCCTCACTGAGCAAGGAGCCCAACGTGGGACTTGATCCCAGGACCCTGGGATCATGACCTGTGCCGAAGGCAGATGCTTAACTGACTGAGCCACCCACGCATCCCTATTTTTGCTTTTTTTCCCTTGCCTCTGGAGACATATCTAGAAAAAGGTTGCTATGGCCAATGTCAGAGAAATTACCACATGTGCTCTCCTCAAGGATTTTTTTGGTTTCAGGTCTCACATATAGGTCTTTCCTCCATTTTGAGTTTAGTTATCTCTGACAAAGGAGGAATGACTATACGATGGGAAGAAGACAAGTCTCTTCAACAAATAGTGTTGGGAAAATTGGACAGCCACATGCAAAAGTATGAAACGGGACCACTTTCTTATTCCCTTTATTTTATATAAATGGGGTCATTTTATATGTACTTTTTTGCACCTTGCTTTTTATCCCTGAAGAATGTATTTTAGAGATCATTGCACCTCAGGACATTTAGATCTAACTCATTCTCTTTAACTCTTCCATAAGCGTGTTAAAATTTATTAATTATTTATTTTATTTTATTTTATTTATTAATTTATTAATTTCCCATCAGTGAATATGTGTTACCAATCTTTTGCTATATCTAACTGTATTGTTTTTAATGCCCTTGAATTTCCTTGTGTATCTTATTTTAGATAGCTATCCAAAGTGAAATTGCTCTATTGATATATATGTGCATTTAAAAATATTAGGTTTCTCGTAAGATCGACCTCCCAGAATACTGTAGTGATTTGCATTCTCATCATCCTTTCATCAACGCGATACATTATTTTTCTTTTACCATTTTGCTAATTACAGAAATGCTGTCACTTAATTTGCATTTTCCAGATGATTTGTTAGGTTGAACCTCTTTTAAGTTAGTTATTGACTAATTTAAAAGTGTTGACATATATTTATCCTTGTAGAAACTGCACCTTCACATATTTGGTGCTTTGTGTGACAACCTTGTTGTATTTTTCTTATTAATTTTTGAAGATTTATTATATTCTAAATAATAATCCTTTGTTATATAATTTGCAAATACATTTTCCTCTCCTCTGCTTACTTTTGGACTTTGGTTAACTTTTTTTTTTAAATTTTATTTTATGATGTTATGTTAGTCACCATACAATATATCACCAGTTTTCGATGCGGTGATCCACGATTCGTTGTTTTCGTTCAACCCCCAGTGCTCCATGCAGTATATGCGCTCCCTAATACCCATCACCGGGCTAACTTCGAATTTTGAGAGCACTATTGATTTGACTTCTTACAGTTAACCCGTCTTCCTTCTTGAAATACTTTTCACATTAATTTTCCTAAAAAGTATACTTCCCTGGTTTGCCCTC